GGGTCGGCGTGGTTTGGGCCCCCCCGGCTGGCCTGGCTACGTGCGGCCGCTGCCCCCAGCCGCGGTCGAGGGCCCCGGGGCGGTGGCCGTGCCCGCCTACAGCCGCGCGCTCGGCCGGCAGCTCAGCAGCGGCGTCTCGGAGATCCGGCACACGGCCGACCGCTGGCGCGTGTCCCTGGACGTCAACCACTTCGCCCCCGAGGAGCTGACGGTCAAGACCAAGGACGGCGTGGTGGAGATCACTGGTGAGCCTCCTGCCCCTGCAGGGGACGAAGCTGGCGGGGGGAGCGCAGGCTTCCCGGCCCGGGGCCTGGGGACTTGAAAGTTAGCCGAGGACTGGGAAGCAGGCGTCCCCTCTCCCTGCTCTGGGTTGGGGGGTGCGGGAGGCTGAGGGCCCTTTCGGTTCTACAACGTTCTATGGAGGGAAGAAACTCCCTTTCCAGCGGAGACTCCCACCCCCCAAATAAGCAGGTCCTCTGGCGCTGTCCCTGTCCCTGCTCCGGGCCGCAGAGGGGGCGTGCGCGCGGCTCCGAGTGCGCCTGCGCGCTGGGCGTGTCGCCGCCGGCGAGGATCCCAACTCTGAATCAAACTTTACAGAAGCTTCGGAGGGCCGGACAGTCGGGCACGCCCCTCTGCCCGCCCCACCGAGCCCCTCGGTAAACCTGTGTCTGCCTGTTCCGGGCTACCCCACAACAGGTGGTCGGGCCTCTGGCCAGCGCGGCCTGTTTGGACCGGCCCCGGCCCCGCCCTCTGACCTCTCTTTGTCCCTTCCCCGCCAGGCAAGCACGAAGAGAGACAGGACGAGCACGGGTACATCTCCCGATGCTTCACCCGCAAATACACGTGAGTCCTGGCCCCAAATCGTAGGGGGTGGGGTGGGGGCCCAGAGAGGAGGGAAGGGGCAGTGACTGACACAGCTTGTAACTCTTGTCCCTCCTCTCTGCCTGTCCAGGCTGCCCCCCGGTGTGGACCCCACCCTCGTCTCCTCCTCCCTGTCCCCTGAGGGCACGCTCACCGTGGAGGCCCCGATGCCCAAGCCAGCCACACAGTCGTCGGAGATCACCATCCCTGTCACTTTCGAGGCTTGTGCCCAGCTTGGGGGCCCGGAAGCTGGGAAGTCTGAGCAACCTGAAGCCAAGTAAAGGCCTTAGCCCTGCTGCCGACCTCCCAGTAGCCATCCCTGGCCACCCCTGTCTGCCAGCCTGTATGTTCTTTTGATACGTTTACCTTCTGTTTTTCTCAAATAAAGTTCAAAGCAACCACTATCACTGTGTCCACCCTGGTGTTTGTGGAGGCCTAGGGGTGACTGCCCTCTGCTGGCTCACACATCTCACCTTTGTTGAGGGTCTACGGTGTGCCCACCCCCATGCCCAGCCCTGGGGTACAGTGGTGTACATCCCTGGGTACAGCCCCATCCTCCAGCCTCGCATCCATTCAGAGAGAGGTAACGACTGTAATCTGGCAATTAAAACCAAAGGACCGGGTGTGGTAGTAAGAGAAACGAGGAGGAGCACCTATCCCAGGCTTGGGCACTTGGGACATCTAGGGGTCAAGAGAAAGGAGGCAGAGCAGGGGTGGGGGAGGGGAGCTTTCTGGGAGTTCAAAGTCCTAATTTTTTTTTTGGCCAGTATGGGGAACCAAACCCTTGACCTTGGTGTTACAAGGCTGTACTCTAACCATTTGAGCTAACCAGCCAGCCCCTTACTGATTTCGTTGCCCTCAGGACAGGACCATGGAGAAGGTACTGGAGGTGTGGCACTTCCAGGTGACTTACTTGGTGGGGTAGAGGGGGGATTGTCCTAGTCAAAGGATCCATCCTCTGATGCCCATACATGTGGGATGGGGCCCGGGCTCTCAGTGCTCTAGG